TTAAAAAATAAAAAAAAAACACTACAACAGGTTAGGTGCAATATAGTATGGTAATTAAGAGCATGGACTCTAGAAGCAGCAGAGCTTCTCAGCTCTCTTTCCATATCTGCACTTAATAACTCTGTGACCTAGGGCAAGTCACATAACTTTTCTGTGCTCTATGTTTCCTCCTCTTCTTGTGGAATACAACAGTACCTCACTCACAGGATTGTATCTAGCATGTGGTAGATCAATGTCAGTTATTATTTTAAACCTGCACATTTGACATGGTAATATTGAAAGTCTCTGTGCCTTTAAATAAAATCCAAGCCCCTCACAGTCCATCTCCCCTCTGCCTACCTTCCAACTTTACCTCTCACTTTGTCCTGTTCTCCTTGATCCAGCTCCTGGCACACAACTCAAGGCCAGGCCTCTCTTAAGCCTTTGCACTTATCTGCCCTCTACCTCCAGATCTGAATGTGGATTCCCCTTCTTTTAATCGACTATTGCCCTGTTATAAACTAATTCTAGGTGCAGTTCTCTTATCTTTTGTTCATATCTTTATTTTCTGTCTTGTCCCAATAAAACATTGGCTTCATATGGACATAAACTTTGTCTTATTCACTGTTTTCTTTATCTCTAGATCTCAAGCATTACAGTGGGGAAAGACAAAATTTAAACCTATGACCAAATAAGTAAGCTCAACAATAAATTATTTCCATTAGAGGAGTAAAAGGGAAGACAAGTCACCAAATAAAAAATGACATTTTTACAACTTAGCCTTCAGAGAGAGAAATGCAATAAAAGACACCAGGTTTTAGAAATGCATTCTTGAAATGTGCAGTGAGGAGCTGAAGGAGTCTAGTCAGAATATCCTATAAGGATTTTCCAAATTATATTAGAGTGTTACTCAGAGCAGAGTAATGGTTTAGCAAGGATACTGCATTGAGACCTGACTTTCTGATTTGTTCTGCCAACTTTAGGAAAAAGGAATGGTCATTTTTCCCCCCTATTTTACTCCCCTACACCTTCTCATAAAAAGAGCCATGCCTTTATGGGACACAAGGAAATTAACAACTAATTTGTGTTATATAAAGCACCTGAAAACATGCTTCATCTAGATCTTTATTTGGGTGAGTTTCAGATTTCTCAAGGGCAAGAGTATTGATGGCCATTATCCTGAGAAGAATGGGAAAGCGATCTGACTCAAGGAAGTAATTGCTTCTGCGAGGCCGGAGGAATGGAGGAGCAGTGGGAAACCCTTCTGTAGTCAAGGTTTGGTCGAGTGTCACAGAGATTTTATATTTGATCTGCATAGCTGCCCCCACTTCAACTGACTAATCAAACTAGAATTGACTGAGAAACTTATTTGGGAGTAAAAGACTAAATAAGATTCTTCTTGACAATTCTAAAGGGTAACGACTGAAGAAATTTAATTTGCTTTAGGAAATAAAGGGGTGTGACAAAGGGTGTAACATTTTCTCCCCTCAAGTATATCCTAGGTATGTATATGACTTATCTATTATGGCAAGAAAGTGAGACAAGCCCCCTGTTTTCTTAGCATAGTAAGGCTAATATTAATAGTGTGTAACCTTCTAAACACCGAAGATTCTCTGGGCTTCCATGACACCATTAATCATGGAGGCATATATTAATACAATACCTTTTGACATATTAATTTTTAGAATATGTGCTATCACTGTACCTGATAGTAGACACTGTAAGTTGCCTTTTCAGTATCTCTTTTCCTCTTCTTCCTCACTAAAGCAAACCCCTGATTTTGTTACAAGCAGTTATAGAATCATATCAGACAGTGTATTATGATGGTCTAATACTAAACCATTTAGTCTGCCAAATACTTCATTTCCTGGGGTGCCTTCTAGAAAACTTCAGGCATAACCACATGGCCCAGTTTTAGACAAAAAAGGGTAAGAGAGTGACTAACAGAGGAATGTGCATTCCTGATAAAAGGAACGTGTGTGATTGGCACTGCCTGTTCTCTCTTTCTTCCTGCCTTGAATGTGTCTATCCTGTGACCATGTCACAAGCACAAAGAGAAAAAGTGAACAGTAGGGAGGCCACAGTAGCAAGAAAGGGGCAAGACCTTTACTGACTAGTTTGAACACTTGTGTCAAACCTACCCATCATCTTTCTCATATACATCCTTGTTGTTTAAGCCATTGGAAGGTCTTCCATTACTTTAAGCCAAAACCAGCCTCTCAGGCACTATTCTCACTATTTGCTATTCTTGGTGATTATATACATAACAGAGCAAGAAGACAATTGAAAGGAATTGAACCCCAATGGCCTGTTTTACAATATTTATTTTTCTCTCAGCCAAGTGAGGTTCTGTCTACCTCAAACTGAAAATAACCACACAACAGCAAGTGTTACTAACTCAACAAAACTGACAATAGAAAGATAGCTAGAAAGTGACTATCATTTGACAGTGTGTCACTACACAAGGGTGATCTTAAAGGCCTCTTTATGCTAAGATTAGAATTAAGAGAAGCTAGGTAAGTGGGATTAATCTGAATTGTATCATATGCCTTAAAAGTGCTTAATATGTTCTTTTTAATCTCAATGCCTTTCGTTGTCCTATTCTCTTTGCCTGGGATACTCCCTATTTCTTTCTGTGACCTACCAACCCTACCTTTAATACCACCCAATTCAGGAATCCTTACCTGACCTGCCCACCTTAATGTCCTCTCTCCTGTCTCTAGTTCTCTTAATGGCAGAGGAGGAGTTGAATTTAGGAATAGCTGGACACAGGAATTCAAACACAAATACAGTTGTTGCTGCTTCATTTTTCCCATATATGAACACCTAGTATATTCTCTCGTTAGGAGATGAATTATTGCTGCTAAGAATTTTATGAATATTTAAAGTATGTGGCCTAGTAAAATCTGCTGTATCGTAAAGGCATTTTATAAACACGGTATTGAGACCATATGTTAATTTTACCAAAAAATATGTAAATAGATACAATTGAACTAAAACAGACGAAAGGCATTATGAAGGGAAATGGCCCTGAAAAACTATGCACATTATGTTTGCAAAAAATATAACCACAATACAGTGTGATGACTGTCACATTAATTATAGATATAAACACATATTTATAGATATACCCTTTTTAAAAATAATTGCTTTTATACTTTCTTCCAAAATTCTTTAGCTTCCCACCTTCATAAAGACGTGCTAACGGATGAACAATTAGAGTCATTAAAAAAAGAATGACTTCAAATATTTGCTTTTTGAGGTTCCTCTTATTTGGCATCCAATAACTCATGCCAATGATAATAAAGTCAATGATTTTCCTCATCCCAGATTCCCAAGCTCCCTATACAATTTAAAAATTCAAATATGTCACCCCAATAAATTAAATTAAAGAATCCAAGTATGTCCTACAATACCCAGTATCTTTGCATCAATAATGTCAAGTTGCATAGAGTTTAAATATCAAAAAGAAAATTTCTATTTCCTCTATGAAAACCATTAACATTTTAGACATGGAGAAATGCAAAATGATGCAGAACAAAGAAAGGCCATTATATAAACATTGAGCCATGACTTGAAAAATGTCAGCAGCCCTGCTAGAAAACAGAAAGGAGGAGAAGAAAGCATATTTAAAAATATTTGCCCTTCCGAAGAGATCACATCAATTATATTTGAGCAATAATCCTCAATACCATCACTTTTAGTCCATCAAACAGTATACTTATAACATAAGTTGCTAGGATTTTCATGTGTCTTTGCAAGGACTTCATAAAAAGATCACATTATACACAGAGTTCTTAGGATTTAAAAATAGGTATTTAACATTCATGTTGTTAATTTATTTTTCCTTCATGTTAATGATGTAACAATTAAAGAACAAGTAGAAAAAGCCTTGACATAATCAGGGAACAAGAGTAAGCTCTCAGTATTATACACCGGAATATATTAATATAATGAGCCATACTCGTCTGTCTACTATTTCAAATTTCATTAAGAAAGAATATTTTCACAAATGATTATGATTCATATCCCCTTTAGAATTCCATGTGAATAACTTTAGTGCTTTACCTTTTTAATTTCCCTGTTTCCTCAATAGTTTCCACTCATCTGACCTCTTGAGAAAATTTAGAGTGGTCATTAGATTTTTTTCCAAATATTCTAATACTAAAGATTCCTGAATATTGCTACTTAATTTATTTTGCTATATTAAATGAGTGTTCTGAACTTCTAAGAATTTATTTGATCTGATGGTAAGTTTATTAAACACATATAACCACTTCAATTTATCTGTGCTTTACTTTTTAGTACAGTGTCTTACATAGGGTAGAAACTACATAAATATATTATTTGAATATAATTTATTGTTCATTGATGCAATTAGTCTATTTCTTATATTTTGGCAATTGTAAAATTAATTCATATGACAATGTAATCTACCTACCTATGATTCTTGGTCTTTGAATTGCTACCTGTTTAATTGTCAGAATAGTTGTTTGAGTATAATAGAGTAGGTTTTGATAAAGTTATCTTTAATAATGCAATTCAACACAAAAAAGGCAAAATAAAATAAAAACTTAGCTACTCTTTAGTGTAAAATCACCTGAAACCATCATTTCTCATCAATAACTGTCCAACTATTCTATCATACACAAATTGTGTGTGTTTTGCAATTACAGGTGGGAGCCAAAATATTGGATTTCTATCTACTAAAGAGCTAGTTGTATTTCTTAAGTATTCAATGGGGAGAATAGTGCCATTTTGAAAATAAACAAATAAGCTCAAAGTCACAGATTACTTAACCTTCCTGAACCTTAGTTATTTAAAATGTAAAACAGCAACAGTTAGAATATCTGTAATTTATGGAGTTATTGTTAGGGTCAAATGCAATATATATGTAGAAGGCAGCCGCAAATTGCAAACTGATGATCAAATGTTGGATTTTGCTTAACCTAGTATACTTCAATTATTTAACAGATTCTCAGAAATAGTGTTTGACAACTTTATTCTTCCAAAATACTTACTGGTATAGACAAGTTGAAAGCCTTCATCTGTCCCTTCAGAATCAGAATTAAATTCTAGCCAGAGCTGATTTGAAGTACTACTAAGAGTCAGTCCTCGCATAGACGCTCCAGTGAAAGCACCTAATAGATGAGTTGTTTTATCTTTTCCATCATAAATCTGCAAAATATATTTATAATTAAAATGTAAATGTGCCAATAATAACTAAATCAGATGCTGTATTTATATCTACATAAAAGAAAAAATTATCATAATCTTCCTAAATAAGTTTACTACATGATTTCAAAGGAAAATTATACATGCATATTGATTCCTATAAATATCGGTCTAAGAGTTAAAATTCACATGGGTAATTTTAAAATTCCAAACTTAGTTGAAGATAAGTAATACTCAAACCCATGTTATATAATTTCTCTTATTATGAAAGCAATCCTTTCTTCTTTGTTTTTAATGGCAGACTTAAAAAGTTGATATTAACTACAAAGAGATTTATTTCCAAGGTTGGTTGATTGGTTGTTTTTCTGCAACTTGCTCAAGGGGACCAAACACCTGCTTTTGTAATAATATAAATCATACAAAATGTACATGTTTCTTTTTCAATTTCTATAATTTACCCATTTACTTTAACTTACCTGATTTTTACATTTTTAAAAAAATATATTTTTATTGATTTCAAGAGGAAGGAAGAGGGTGAGAGATAGAAACATCAATGATGAGAGAGAATCATTGATTGGCTGATTCCTGCTTGCTCTCTACTGGGGATCAAGCCTGCAATCCAGGCATGTGCCCTTGACCAGAATCAAACCTGGACCCTTCAGTCCATAGGCCGATGCTCTAACTACTGGGCCAAACCAGCTAGGGCATAGTCTTAAAATATTAATTTAGAACAGTGCTAAATGCTTTTAGAAACCAATTTAACAACTCAAAAATATACAAAAGCAAAACTGATAAGCTCCCAAGTATCCCTCTATCATTCTCATTCTCACTGCATTCTGACTTGCTTTTCTTTTATCAATGCGTTCTAGACATCTCTTCAGGTCAGAAGATAAAGAGGCTTCCTTTTGAACACTGGGTAATATTTTTTTAAATATATTTTCATTGATTTTTAGAGAGTGAGGAAAGTAGAGAAAGAGAGAAAGAAAGAGAGAGAAGCATCCATGAGAGAGCGAAGCATAGGCTACCTGCTTCCTGTATGCCCCCTCCAGGGGATTGAGCCCACAACCCAGGCATGTGTCCCAACTGGGATTCAAAGCAGCAAACCAGCAAACCTTTTGGTGCTCAGGACAATGTCCAACCAACTGAGCCATACCGGCCAGGGCTGGGTAATGTTTCATACAGTGACGTTACCACAACTTGCTGTATCATTCCCATATTAATGAACTCAAGTTGTTTTTTTACCACTAAAATTAATGCTGAAATAAGCAAATTTTTAATATAAACTCTCATTATTTGGTACTTGTATTTTAATAAGACATTATTCAAAATATGGTATTTCCGGGCTAAAAAGTATTGCCAGATTATTTTCCAAAATGTGTCTAGTAATTAAACTGAAGGTTTACCAGTAATGCATGTTAGCACCGTTTTTCCTTAGAAGCACGTGCTTTCAATATGAGGTTATTACCTCCAAGGAAGTGGAAATTGGCTCTTGCGGGTCATAAACTCTTAGATATTATGATGATTTGTGGTCCTACAAAGATCAACTCTATCTTACAAGTATTATTCCATAGTATTTAGTTTCATGGAGTTGGGGTTGAGAGTTCTTAGGTGAATGTTAATCAGTAGAGAAAGCTGAGAAATGCTCCTCAAAGTTATTTATCTCTTGCCTGACATTAGAGTAGGAAAGTGGATCACTAAACTCCTAATCTAGTGATCTTGCCAGAGCAGCAATGTTTCCAAAAGTGGTATTTATGCATTGTGTTAAGTACTATCCTTCTTGACCCAGAGAAAATTTTAAAAAATGATCCAATATTTTCTGTTATTGGAGAAATATATTTATTTCGGGTCTTTCTATTTTTTTAAGCTAGTATAATACTTTTTTTTCGAAAGAAACTTTCTTAGAAACATACTTTTAAGAAATTATTAAAAGAAAAGGCACTAATGTTAAAAATATATAACAGGAAAAGAATTATCATGTGCCTAGCTGGGAGGACCTAATTCAACACTTAAACTCACTAAATAAAGATTATTTAATAATATACAGTCAAAAGGTAAAAAACAAACACTAAAGAAGCACTACTCTATCAACAAAGTAAAATGAAGCATGATCATTCAACCGTGAATTTTAAAAGAATGTAGAAAATTATTAAATCCAATGACACAAGTGTAAATTAGGAAGGCTTTAAAAAGATAAGAGTTTTATATAATAATCAAGTCAATGCTTTTAACTGGTAAATAAAATCCTTCAAATGTATTCAAAAACATATGGAAGCATACAGACAACAGGGAAGGACAATGTAGTATAGTAAAAAACAAATTACTTTTGAAAGAGACATGAGTATAAGCATAGAAGTAAGAGGATAAAAGAACCAAAATGTACTTTCACTTAAAAGTAAATTTACTTTACCGAGTGATTATTGGGTCTAATCAGTACCATACAGAACTTTTATTTGAGACTGTTACTTCTCATATTTCTATTCTTATTAAAATAAGGATCTTTAAGAATATTTTTATTTACTTGGGCCTACTTTTCTTTTTTAAAATATAATATTTTATTATTATTATTCAGCATATATCTTAATATCTATTTTTTCAAAAAGCTAAAAGAACTAAAGATAACTGTATAATATTATACTTTTTAATTGGAAATGAATAAATTCTTGGTTTTTCCCACAGAAACATTCTTAGTTACTTAGCACCTAATTCAGATAATAAAGACTTACTTTTATGCCAAATATAGAATTTCAAATCAATTTAAAAATTAATAGTATGAAAGTCATCGAGCCCTTTTATAATGTTAATAAAACTCTTTGGTAAGACTAATTTGTTAAAAGGTTGCAATTTATCTGGTAGTTTAACACTAGAACAGACTAAAATTTAATATTGGCATGTTTGAATTACCAAAACTTTTGTAATGGATCAGGGCTTGAAATAAGTTATGGTGTATAGACTCCTAGGTTCGAAAGGTCAAACCTTATTATGATGAACTGCTGATCAACACTCAAAACTGTTGTTAATTTTATAATAAATGTATGTTATAAGATATATGCTCAGTCATTTCTCCAATGAATTAGTAAAAAAGGTGTTATCTAAATTTAAGAGCAGATAGTACATAAAAAAGAGAGAAATTACACATGTACTTATGTATATGAACCTTTGAATTATTCCTACTCATGGACATTACAAATTTAATTTTTTGTCATTTGTTTTATAGGTTGATTTGTAAACTTAAATACATTTTTCTAACAATGTAAGGAAGATGTTAAAGTGTGAGTAAAAAAGATTTTTTTTAATGGTCAATCATAAAGGACTCTATTTGAAATCTTATGTTTTTTCCAAAAGTAATATGAAACAAAGCAGAGAACTTATATGCAAAAATATTTATGTCTCTGAAATAGCTATATATTGTGTCCTCAATTATATGAGCCAGCATACTCTAATAAGGGAGTTGTGGCACAATGAAGAGGCCGCTTTTCAGGGGCATTAGCTTTATAGTTATACTAGAGGCCTGGTACACGAAAATTCTCTCACAGTCCAGGACCCCTCAGGGGATGTCCACCTGCTGGCTTAGGCCCGCTTCCTGAGCCTAACAGTCAGACATCCCCCTGGCAGCCTGGAAGCCCTCGGGGGATGTCTGACTGACATCTTTAGTGCTGCCTAAGAGGTGGGAGAGGCTCCCACCACTACCACTGTGCTCACAGCTGTCAGCCCAGCTTGTGGCTGAGTGGAGCTCCCCCTGTGGGAGCACACTGACCACCAGGGGGCAGCTTCTGCATTGAACGTCTACCCCCGGTGGTCAGTGCGCATCACAGTGACCAGTCGTTCCACTGTTAGGGTCAATTTGCATATTACCCTTTTATTATATAGGATAACAAAGTTGAAGCCCCAACTCTACCACTGAAGTTGTAAGTCCTGTCACAAATCATTTTACGGCTGTGATCCTCAGTATGGGAGAGAGAGAGAAGGGTTTTTTGAGGCCTACCACAGCACTTTATACTAATGAGTATTTAGAGAGTGATTTTGAGAGGGGTGTAAAGGATGAGCAGTGAACAACAAGCAGAGCTGATAGATATGTGTGCTAAGCGGATGTGCTGGAAAATATTTAGCATCCAGGTCTCAAACAAACAAAATTGAGAAGTGTATATATTCATGCAGATCATTAAAAATAACTTTTATTGACATAAAGAGAAGTTGACAAACTTTTTCTGAAAAGAATAAGATAGTAAATATTTTAGGCTGCTGGGGTCATAACATTTCTGTTGCCACTACTCAATCATGCCATTGCAGCACAAAATCAGCTATAAATACTATGTCAATGAATAAACATGGCCTTCTCCTAATAAAATTTTACTTACAGAAACAGGTCTTAGGCCAAATTTGTCCCTTAGAGTGTTGTTTATGAACCCCTGATTTAAGGGATGTGTAGCATGCAATTTACAAATAGTAATAAAATATACAATATTCATTATTGTAAATTCCATAGAGCTAATTGGTTGTCACAAAATGTTTTCAGTGTTTTTTTGCCAAACCTTTTCTTTCCTGCAAGTTACAATTGCAACTGACAAACAAGAGTAGAATATGGTTTGATTATTTTTATGTTAAGTTAGATAAAAGTGAAACATCAAAAAATAGCTATATTAGGCCCAGCCGGCATGGCTCAGTGGTTAAGCATTGACCTATGAACCTGGAGGTCATGATTTAATTCTTGGTTGGGGCACATGCCCGGATTGCGGGTTTGTTCCCCAGTGTGGGGCATACAGGCGGCAGCCCATCAATGACTCTATCAGAACAAAACTGATTTCTAAATGATCTGAGCAACTTTTCTAAGTGGAATAATAGTTTTCAAATACTAGGAAAGATATCTTCTCAATTTTTTTGCGCTATGCACAATGTAATTGCTATAGACACAACACATCTCATTTAAGTGTAGATATGAGCAAAACAGTAAATCTAGTCAGTGTTTGTGGGGTTTGACAATGTCTGCAGTATAAATACCCCTATTATCGATGCTATTGTAATTTAACCTAGTTACTAACAGCTGGAAAGGAGTAAAGGGAAGGCCACATAGTACAGGCATTCATTTGTGCAGCTTTGCCGGGAAGCTGCATTATAGAAGCACGCCCAGTAGAGTCCAGATGAAATAGGGAAGGTACTTTCTGTCAGTCACAGCTGGGAACAGATCATGGGCGAGAGTCGGCCTGGCCACTGCAATCGCAGGAAGATAGGAGATGTTTCACTTCCTAAACAAAGGACTTCTTTCTCCTGGCTCCTGGGGCTCTTGGGAACCTTGAGGCAGGGGTTGTGCTCCATGAGCTCCCCTGCGTTTACCCACATGACCCACAGCCACGTGGACCCCACACGATGGACTGATGGACTGCAACTAGCCTACTGCTGTACCGGACCCAGCTCCCCATGGAACAGAAAGTTGAGACCCTGGCTTTGCTTCTCACTCTACTGAAACCCCAATTGCACATCTTCCAGGACTGGATTAAGGGAAATAGTACTTTGGAAACTGAGGGATGGAATTCCACACAAATAGAAAATCACTCATCCTCCCATGTGAGTCTCAGAAAATTCTTTTTCTCGAGCTATCATAAGAACCCCGCCCTGAGCACTTATGTGGGAAAAGGGATGCCTCACTTTCACTGATGACACTATAACCCAGATCACACTATCAGTGCAACATCATTGAATGCAGAGTTGGGAAGAGATGCACACTCTGACCTAGTATTTCCACCAGAGAGATGCAATACACTACACAACGAGCCTAAAGAGCACAGATAATAGTAAAAGTAGTAAAATAATTAGGAAATTAAAGTTGTATTTATTACCTTTGCTTTTAATATAATTTTAATTAATTTAATTATAATCTAGTTGTAATCTAATTTTTAATAATGGCTATGTATAACAACTAGTTCACAGAATTACTGAAAATTTAACAACAGGCTCTTACAAGTGGCACTCCCAAAGACTCACAGGCAAGTTAGGAAAAAGCTTGAAAATAATACTTCTTAGAAAACAACAGTAATGACACATTAATAACCTTCATATCATACTCCTAAAATAGGTTATTAATCAAGCCCTTCAAATATTGACTTTTTCATAAATATGACATTAATTTTCCTAACCCTTGTTTTTTGAACTCTCAAAATCAATTTTGAGTTATTTTGCTGGCTCTTTTCCATAATCATCCATTTAGTCTATTCTGCATAAGAAATAAGTCTTTAAACTACACAATGCTGACTGTGGTAGAATGATTCCCTTGAATGTTGTCTCTGCTAAACACAGCAACTATGAAAACAAAAACAGTATTTCTGATCGGTATTCAACTTTCATGCTAACAGGCTGACAATGGGAACAATTCATTGTTGATTGTTTAGAGTCTACACCTAATTAAATATCTCCTTTAAATGTGAATTGAGAGAATTAATTACATCACACATTTTGCATAAGGGTTTGGAAAGTTCAATATTCTTGCTGATTGAAAGGAATCAAACCAAAGAAGAATATATTCATAATTCAAAACCTGCTGGTCATCAGATAATCTGGAGAGTTTTATGAAAATACATGATCCTAGGTGTAGACTAACAAACAGTTTCTCCAGATCTAAGGAGTCAGAAAATCTGGTAGTGATGCCAGGAATAGACCACCTAGAAGGGTCATATGGTCCTCTACACTTGATATAAACGTTACTAGTGTGGTGACAAATAAAGTAGTGTATGGAAGGAGAGGGGAGGGTGAGAGAGTATGAGTGAGTAAGTGAGCAGCAAAATAGATTGTGAACTCTCAAAGAGGAAAAGTATGTGTGTGTGTGTGTCTTTAGATATAGCTAAATACGTACACATATTTTCTATGTTGTGAGTGTTTTTGTTTTTATTAGAACCCAATACAGTAATGTTATAGTTTAAGAGAAACCAGAAAAAAACACCACCTTGCAAACTCTATACTCTAAATATATATAAAAACCTAAGCGACCATCTGACCATTTAACCGTCTGATCGGTAAGCTATGATGCACACTGACCACCAGGGGGCAGACGCTCAACGCAGGAGCTGCCGAGCTGTGGTGACTTGGCAACTGTAGTTCTTGGGTGACACACCCGGAACCAGAGAAGAGGGAGCCCAATTCCAGGATGTGTCACCCAAGAACTGCCCTCTTGCAATTCAGGACCCCTCAGGGGATGTCGGAGAGCAGGTTTCAGCCCAATCCCTGCAGGCCAAGCCAAGGGACCTCACCTGTGCACGAATCTGTGCACCAGGACTCTAGTAAACATTATAAGAGAATTTAGCCAATCCTACCACATAAAGAAAACAATGCTTTTAACTTCTCTTGGTCAAGAGGATTCTATGATGGCCTATTGTTTTACTTATTTCTTCTTATTTCCTAATCTGAATGTATTAAAAGAACTGTTTCTACTAGGTTTAGAAACTGGCTTTGCTTCTCACTCTACTGAAAACCCAGCTGCACATCTTCCAGGACTGGATTAAGGAAAATGGGACTTTGGAAACTCAGAGACGGAATTCCACACAAATAAAGCTTTCTACCATATCTCATCCTCCCATGGGGCCTCTGGCACCATTTGTACTTTGGAAACCTGGGGATGCAATTCCACACAAATAAAAAGCTAGGGAGTGCTGGGGATTTGGGATGGGCTCTTGTTCACTAGTTTGCAGTTAAAGCAACTGACCTTTTATCCTTAGAGGACTTTGGAGTCCAAAATCTGAGAATTCTTCATTTTTGCTTTGGAGGGTGCATCTGACTGCTTGTGTATGTAGGTGTCTGAACTAATCATTGGTCTTGGGATTAATGGGAGGAAAAAGGTAACATATAAACATTTTACATCTTACACTGATGGACAGACCATGAAGAAGTCAAACTTGGAAGGTAAAAACCCATCCCAAATCATCTCTGTAGAGTGGCTTGTTAAAGTCATTTTTAAATAACAATTTAGAATAAATCCCAGGCAAGACTAGCAGTAGGGGGATAATAGAATTGATAGTTTCTATTGTAACATTGAGTATATTACATTTTCAACTTCGGAAATTATTCTAGGAAAATACCAAAAAAATCTTAAAAAACGCTAGGAATATAAATTTTCATCCCTTCATCAATTAAACAAAAATCATTATTTAATTAAACCCACTATAATGCATTAAATTGAAGTTTTTTTTCTTTCTTTCTTTCCATTATCTCTCACCATCATATCCCCTCACATAGTCACTATTACTGAGGTCCTGCGCTTTCTCAAGGTAACACATGTCACAAGTGCATGTGACCTTCCTCCAAACAAGTACGGCATTAGAGAGCACGCTAAGAAACCCGCTACAGCAATTTTATTTTTATATCAGCAAATAATAAACATTATTCAGTATGGAAGAGGAATCCATACATTTCAAGCATCATGGAGAGAGCAGACAAATATTTTAGGAAGGGTGGGCAAGTGCTGCCTGACTTTAACACATTAATACATGTTTATTATTGTTGCTTGTGTGATACTGATTAGTGGCTGGGCTTACCCTTCTGATCTATGTCTTGAGACATTTTCTCTTGCATAGTTAGCCTGATAGAGAACAGTGCAAAACACAGGAATGGACTTAAATTAATACTAAAATTCTATATATTTAGGTGTAGTGCAGGAAGTCTTCCCCATGTCTATACAAATCTTAGGTGCATATAGTACCGACTGTGCTAGGGAATCATGAATTATCATCATAATGATATTCTTTTTAAAAGAAGAAAATAACCAACAATCTAAAACCACTGCTTAGGTAAGAATCTCCAGCCAACATGAGATGATATTTTTTTTTTTCAAGATTTGTGAAAACAGAATTATGTTGAATTTCTAAGTTGGCTTAAGAAAATCTTAACATTTAAGAATAAGGCTTGTGATTCATTTTAAAGTATTTAAATCTGATTTTGTAGAAGTTTCATTTTTATTATAATCATGTTTATAAATTATATTTATCAAAACTATACTTTGAAAAATATAAATCAGCAATTATGGAAATACTTATTTGCCTAAAATTATATCTCTTTAATTAATAATTAATTTTGCACTAAATGTTTATTATCAACGAAGTTAATTTTTACTAAATAATTTCTAAACATTGCGTTTTTAGTTTTATATGGTTATGAAATGAGTTTTATAGTCATAAATGCAAAGAATTGTTCATGTGTCAACAGAAATTGTGACTTACTTAATAATCATCAAAATAAAAACATATTATTACTATATTTCTTTAAAAAATGACCACTCGTGTGTTAACTATGATTTTTTGTTGTTGTTGTTGCTCATAAACATTCTTTTCTTTTTTTTGTCTAAAGTTTTACATATGTCTCCTTTTTCCCCAATTGGCACCCCCCTCCCAGCCATTCCCATCCCGGCAAGCCCCCACCGCCCCAGTGTCTGTGTCCATTGGTTATGCTAATATGTATGCATACAAGTCCTATGGTAACTATTATTTTTATATAAATAGTTATTGAGTAGGGAGGAAAAGTGTTTTTATTTTGGTGTTACTGAAACATTCAACTTTGTCATTAAATTAGTTACTTGTTATAAAATACATTGGAAACAAAACATTTTATCTCCATGAAAATAATAATACAAAAATGGGAAATAATATATAATTTAAAGTTAGGAATTGTAGAATCAGCTTATGGTTGGTTACATATGCATATATATGTATTAACGTATACTTAATGACTAAAAATATCAAAATGCAATGCCTGATTTCACCTACCTTAAGAACATCTCCTTGTGCTAAATGAAATGTTCTGGCTGAAATATTGATCCCCTTTCCTGCTTGAACCTGAATACTATAAATGCATTCATGGTTGTTTTCATAGTTGAGTGGGTAATTTGGAGAGAGCAAAATTCCTTCATTATTTGTTGCAGATGCACCACATTCAGCTGCAGGTAAAACAGAATATTGAAGTACAGTTTAATAGAAAGCATTATCATTTTTAAGTTATATAATGAATGGACGTGTAAATGCATTTTCTTTTAACTGGAGCCTCACAGGAAAATCATGTATGGAATGGCTGTGTGTTGTAGATGAGTCATTCCCTCTTAACTATTACATGGGAAGAACCATACCCTGTGGACAGGACACTTGTGCCGAAGTGGAAATAGACTAGAGTTTCACTACATGCCCCACCCCCATGGAAGGATAGCATGGAAAAGGGTGAGAGCGAGAGATTACTAGGATATATTGTACGTTTCTAGAAATCTGATTAATTTTTTTATTTTGAACTTCTAATTTAATTGCTTAAGTATTAAAAAAGTCAACAAATCAATTCTGTTTTATAATGATTCCAATTGGATCTTTTTAATTTTACCTTTTTTGAATTTGGTCCTCCTTCTTCCCAATAATTAGCATTCCCCTGGTTCAACAACTTCAGTAACAAAAAGGTAAATAAATACTGCATTACCTTTTTTTTATTGCTTAAAGTATTACAAAGGGTATTACATATTACATTACCTTTGAAAACTGATATAACAAGGAAAACCCACTAACCAATAACTGTAACAAATTGGGTATCTTTAGAAATAATAGTATTACCTTTCAGTTTAAAAGAACAGATTAAGGCATTCTTGAAATCAGTATATTGTACTGCTAACTCTCCAGAACTAATTTTGCAAAATTTGTGGACATGTCTAACCACTTAGAGAAAATTAAACATTTCTTAATTTATGTAAAATTTAAATTCTACTCATTACTTAAAAAAACTTGTAGCATGATTGCTATATCAGACAAGGCCTGACAATCCCCACGCATGCTCCTGAGGTCTCAGAAATTCAATGAACTCTGCTTCCTATCTTATCTGATAACTTGCTTCATGTTACCATACCATGGGCCAGGGAGAGTTATACTTTTTTAGAGGTTTTACTAACCAGAAAATATGTCAAGTCACTATTTTCCAGAAATGAGATTTTTAAAAATAATGATTCATGGGTACAGTCATAGGAAGTATACAAGAAAGTGAACGATGGATTGCTTTACATTTAAATGATTAAACATTAACAAAAAATAAGGCAAAAGAAGAAAGCCTAATGAGGAAATGAAAATGATCAAGACTGAGCAATCAGTACAATATCAACATAGTATAAAGTAATAAAAACTAATGCTGTAATGTTAAAAATCCACCAATCACATGAAGAAATGTGGCCCAATACAGTTCCTCCAAGTCCATTTAAACAAAAGGAAACCAAGACAAAACCTTAAAGAGTCCCAGTACTAATTTAAATTATTTTAATGTTCCATAAATACGGTCAAACATAAAAATAGATATGTCCTTATGCTTTTAGCTGTATACAATTATAATACCAAAACAAGTTTACAAATACAGGAACAAAATTACAAAAACAATAAAATTAAAAATAGCAACATGTATCCAATGTAGCATACGGTTTTGTTTTCCTGAAATTAAATTGCCCTTGGCAATGTGGATAAAGAACCAGCTGCTAGAGTACCGGCTTTTGGAGTTTGCTATGCTTTTAATTACACTATGCTGTGTAATGATTCAATTCTCCCTCATCTTATCCCTCTCTGCACCGCTGAGAAACTTTCATCGGTATAGTATAACATGACACCATGCGTCCTTCACTTAGTGGGAAAGAATCATTTATATGTTAAGTCTGCCTCATTTCCTTCTCACTAGCTTATTAGAATCTAGGTGTGCTTGTGGGGACATGAAGACAGATGTATTAGATCCTACAGATGGTCCAGAATGCAAGTACATTTTTATCAGTTTGGTAAGAGCATGCAAACAGTTTTTAATGATGTTATAGAATCATGGAGTTCTGATAATATGTGTTGTTGTTGTTGTTTAGAGAGAGAAAGAGAAGCATCAACGTGAGAGAGAAATATTGATCGATTGCTCCCATGTATGTCTGCTCTGATCGGGGACTGAACCTATAACCTGGGCATGTGCCCTAATGAAGAACTGAACCTGCCTACTTTTGGTGGACAGGATGACACTCCTACCAACTGAGCCACACCAGCCAGGGCCTGAGTGTTTTTTTATGCCAGCTTGCAAAACAGTGATATACTGATGAAGAGGTCAAGCTTTGAACTTCAGAGATTTTGTTTACAAAATTAAGCTTCATCTTCTATCTGTATCTATTTGGCAAGTTATTTATTTTCTCTCTTAAGTCTCAATAGTATTATCATTACAATACAAAAAAATAATACCCTCCTCAGAGGAATGTTTAGTTTGTGTGTGTATGAGTTGAAAATATATAATTAGAGCCGAAACCGGTTTGGCTCAGTGGATAGAGTGTCGGCTTGCGGACTGAAAGGTCCCAAGTTTGATTCCGGCCAAGGGCATGTATCTGGGTTGCTGGCACACAACAATAGCTTAATAAACCAGAGCTATCATTACGTATAAGTACTATGAGTGACATCATCTATAAAAATAAAAGTCTAATATGCCAATTAGACTGGACAGCCAAACGACCTTCCGGACGTCCTTCCAGATGACCTACCAAATGAAGCCGCAGCAGCAGGGGCCAAGGCAGAGGTGATTAGGGGCGATCAGGCGGGCCGGGGGGGTAGGGGTGATCCGGCAGGCAGGCAGAGGGGTTAGGGGCGATCAGGCAGGCAGGCAGGTGAGCAGTTAGGAGCCAGCGGTCCCAGATTGTGAGAGGGATCCCAGATTGTAA